TTAAGCCGCTGCGCCACCGCGTCCCCCCAGTTTTTAATTACTATTCCTTTAATTAATTTTCCTTAGCTTTTTCTCCTCTCTACTTCTCTGTGACTGTCCTTTCAACCTCCATATCTTATGATGTTTCTGTAGCAGGTGGCAGCACCTAACTAACCTTGGCTGATCTCTCAAAAAAGCTAAGCCAGGTTGATACTGGGATAAGAGACCACTAAGAAAACCCAAGGCTATAGGCTAAAATGGGAAGTAAAAAAAAATATGGAAGAAAGCAGTGACTCTTCTTATTGTGCCAAGAAAACTGCATAGGCATGTCCATACAGTCATCAGAAGTCAAACTCTCAATACAAAGGAGTGTTTACTTTTTACCTTCTGACCCTAGATCAGCTCTGAAGATTTGCTTTCTAACATGGGGGGAACATTCTCATAACTTTTCCTAATGAGCTCAGACTTGCATGTGCTACAGCTATTGGCTCTGTGGTTCCTTTTCTATTACATACTGCCTGAACTCTGCTCTCAGTGCAGATGTTGCCAAAGACACAGGTAAATTCAAAACATTAGTTATTGTTAGTAGTCAAAGGAGGCCAAAGAGGTGGAGGAAATTGATTTTTCAGTGTTTAAATAGAAGAGAGTGAAATACAATTGGGCCTTATTTAAAAAAGAGGGGATAGAGTCTCTTCTAATGGAACTATACCCATTAAAAGTAGAGATAAGAAATGTAATCAGTAAATACCCCTGATTCTTTGAGATTTTGGGTTAAACTTCCCATATGTAGTTTTTCTTACTGTATTATAAATGAGATAAAGTGGTTTCATTTTGTGTTGGGTGTTTTTTTTTCCTATGGGGTTGGACTTAAGTTGCCCTTCAATATACAGAAGAACTCCTTCCATTCACAAAAAGACTCCAATCAAGGGGTTGTGTGTTTTTTGAGAATTCCTTTAGTGAAATCCATAAATTCTCCAGAGAAGTGGGGTGGGTTTGCAAAACAGAGATGCAGGAAATTTATCAAAATTTATTTGACAATATAAATATCCCATATTCAGCATGGGTCCACTGAGAGGAACTTGGAATCCAAAGCATTTCATTTTTAAGATGAGAGAAAGTCATAAGCTTTTAGATTTATACAAGTGCTTCTTTAGATTGAAAAGGAGAAGATGAATATCATTCAGGCAACTTAAATTTGAGTTTATACATTATTTGATTAACTTTGCAATATAAATGATAGGCAGCACTTTACTGTTTTCTACTTTAATTGCTACTAGAGAGGTGTGTGAAACTGCTCACATGAATAGGGTTTTACTAACAATCTATGAGTAGCATATCTTTAATTGAGCTTCCAGATTAGAGAGAGAGAGCTGTTATTTATGTCATGCCCTCATATTAGAGGTTCCACAATTCCACTACCCCAGAGGAGGGACTATTTCAGTATGTGCTCCTGGAATTTTACACATTGCTGCCTTTTGATGATCAAGTGATGTGTCAGACCAGTCATTTATGACATGTTTTTAAAAGTAAGAGATAAATGAGATAAAGTTGTAATGAAGATGGTTTAAGAAGATGACTAGATGAGAGCTCTCTGTAATCAGCGCTTAACTCTTTTTTTCTCCTAGAGTTGCAACCAACCTAGTAAGACGTCTTTGTGAAAGAGGTAAGAAGGCTTTTTCTACATGATGTTATCAAGGAGCATTTCATATGATCCATGTTTTCTCTTTTCTCAAAGATGGGTCAGCATTTAGTAGTGAACATTGCCTTTTTTATTAAAGTGTGAGAAGGGACATAATGACTCCATCATGGTGTGCAGCTTTTTCCAGGCCAAGTCTTACAATTGACTGTTGATTGGCATGCCAGGCGCAATGTTGAAAGAGGAGGCCAGAAAAAATAATATTTTATTTCAGTGTGATTAATTTAACATAAGTATTCTCTTGTTTTCTTCTCTCACATGTAATTTGATAATGTTTGAAGGTCTCTGGAGGCTGTGCTAACAGTTTTCAGAGGCTACATAAAGCTCTGAGGCCTCTTTGCACATCTCTTCTGTGGTGGATGGATCTGCCTAACACTTTTCAAATCTAGCAGAGAAATGCTGCATTTGTACCTCCAAAAGATAACTCTAGTTGTTCAGCCTGTGATATTTTATTTTAGAGATTCAGATTGCCATCAAAGCTCAGGATATCCCATTCTCCTTTTGAACTCTTGAAGCCAAAGCCTATTCATTTCAGATAACTGCCCTGAGATTTTGCCCAGTTGACTTTAAAAAAAATGTAATTATACCGCTCCATCCATACAGAAGTTGAAAATAGTGGCAAATTTTTGAACACCTGAAAGTGTTCTTGTAATCATATCTCTGTGTATAGTTCCAACTCTGGATTTGTATTCCTCTGCACTACTCAGATGTCCTTCCAGGTAGGTGCAAAGCAGATTCTTGCAGGGAGGTACCAGTACTTTGGCTGAAACGGACAGCATTTGTTCTCTTTACTTTTCAGAAACTCCCCCAGATGCCCTGGTATTAGAATCACCTTTTACAAACATACGTGAAGAAGCAAAAAGCCATCCCTTTTCAGTGGCAAGTACAGATTTACATGCTAAAATTCCCATCTTATATTATCATCTTTGGGTTTACTTGAAATTTCCAACATATCTGAAGTAGTCAATAAGCAACCTATATCAAGATTTTTTATTTCAATTTTTTTCTCATCCATGCAAAGTACTGTTTCCTCTGCCATGAGCTTTTCCAGCCCAGAAGGTCTGAAGTAGTTTCATGTATAAAGTGGGTATATTCTGCAAAAAATATTTGTATGAGATTTCTGGTAGTACACTTCCAGGTAATTGGCCTTCTTTTGAATTCAAATTATTTAGAAAGGAGCATAAGAATATATGATAAGCATTAACACTCTGGAGATAGGCTGTGATATTTGTGCACTTTTCAACTTCATGGCCAGTGGGAGCATGCATTGAAGGAGTTGTAGATACATTCTGTATGTACATACTGGAGCTTATAAGTGAGTGTTATTCTGTACTTTGAATAAATTTTGAATAGAATTTGAAACATCAGATAATCCTAACCTTGGAGTTCACAGGAAACTGTAAACTGCATCTTCTAGAGTAGCACCTTGTAAGAAGGAGTCTGCTGAATGTAGAGAGACCCCATGACCAGTGCTGACATCCTCGGAATAGCTGGTGCTATTTAAAATCCCTGTCTGGGGTAATCATTAGTGCTCCACCTCTGGGCTAGTTGGAGGAAGTGCATGTTTCTACTTAAAGTTCTGTTTCCATTTATAATGAATTGCCACTCTACACTAATGAGAGTGTGAAAGAGGAGTTATGTGTAAGCGTAACAGTGATGAGACTGTTAGAATAGAACTAAAGCAGGGAAGGGAAAGCTGCTTCCTCTTTATCACACTGGTCAGTTTTTAAAAAGTATACGTTTTCTTATCAAAAGGTCCACCACAACAGAATGATCCCCCAGTAAAGATAAATTTCTTTAATTTTAACCTTAGAAGAAAGAGTTGTAGCCTCTCCTCCCTTTTTCCTCCTCCTGTTGCATTGAAGGACTCAGTATGATCCCAAGAAGCATTTCCTTCACTGCTGCAAGAGAGGAAAATCATCTTCAAATCCAGTTTAACTCCTGGTAATTTCACGAGCACATCTATATAGTTTTCTTAGCAATACTACGGAAGTGGTTTGCCATTACCATCTTCCAGAATATGTTTTTTTTTTTTAAATTCCCAGTCTAGCCTACAGCCCTGATATTTCTTGGAAGCTCATGTCCAAGTAGTAAATAGGCTTGACCCTGCTAAAGTCAGCCCAGTTCTGCCACTTGCTACAGAAGCACAAAGAATAGGTTAAGAATTCCTGCCCCTACTGTCCAGTCCAGGTAATACCAAGAAATGTGGGCCGGTCTAATGAAATAATGTAAAATCAAAATTTTGATGTTGACTTTTGAAAATATTTTCATAAAAATACTTATATTTCATATCTTATGACATTTGTGTACTCCATTTTTTAATTGTATATTGCACTGAATCATTTTGAGAGGGCAGCTATATACTTATATTGGTAAGATACATTATTATGCTTCTTTGTTTTAATATTACCATTATTCAGTTTATGTGCCAAGTCATTGCTAAAGGTATGCATCTTAACTGCTCTCCTAAGGGTGGCAAGAGTAGGGTCCAAATGTTAACCCTAACCCTGAGCATAATAGATGGATCTCAGCAAGGGACTCTCCTGCAGATTTTAAACACCTGAACGGGTTTATAATGTGAGAGATGCCCCCATCACATACGCAGGCCCTAAACCATTTAGCCAATACATTAGCACCAGCCAATATACTAGCACCAACCACATTAAACTGTCCAGAAAGCAGTTGACAATCAGCTTGGGCATAATGTGATCCCAGTGTAATGCATTAGTTAGCATTAGCATTAGTTAGCAAACCAGTTGCCATATTTTACCAATTTAGCTTCAAGGCATTTTGCAAAGTGAGTCTATGTAGAGTGTATTGCAGTACAGGTAGTCCTCGCTTAACAACCATTCATTAAGTGACTGTTCAAAGTTACAATGGCACTGAATGAATGGTAGTTATGACTGGTCCTCAAAGTTATGACCGTTACAGCACCCCTGTGGTCACATGATCAAAATTTGGGCACTTGGCAGCCCACCTGCATTTAGGAGTGCACTGTGCACTTCAACTCCCCTGCCCACTTGTTTCCCACCCATCTGTGCCCTTTTGGCCACCCTGCACTCTGCTGCCCCTGCTGCCCCCACCACCCTGCACTCCCCCTTGCACCTCTGCCACCTTGTACTCTGCTGCCCCTGTGGCCCTCTGCTCCCCCCAGTTGACCTTCTCCATCTTGTTTCTTCCGCTGATGACGGGGCACACCCGGCTGAGGGAGCTGCTAGCCCTTCACGATGCCTCCATGACACCATGCAAGGACTTTGCGTGCCTTGTCAGCAGTGGGAGGAAGAAGACAGCAGAGGTCAGCTGGGGGTGGTGGAGGGCAGCAGGGGTAGGTGATTGTAGTGGAGTCTAGGGTGGCCAAAAATGCAGAGATGGGGGGATATAGGCGGGTGGGGGGAGTTGAAGTGGAGATGAGTGTAGCAGGGTGGCGGAGCCTTGCCTGCTGAAGGGAGCTCGCCTGGCCTGGTCAGGGAGGAGGCAGCAGGACTGAGCCGGCAGTTCACTCAGGGCAGAAGTGTGAGGTCCTCGCCTAATGATAGCATGGTCCTCACCTAACGATCACAACCGGGACTACTGGAACTGCCATCGCTAAGCAGTGCAGTCATGTGATATTTCGCCTAACAATCACTTTGCTTAGCAATGGAAATTCCAGTCCCAATTAGGGTCTTTAAGCAAGGACTATCTGTAGTGAAATTGGGATGTAAACAAGGCATGAAAAATTTGTGACTAACAACAATGCTGTGTTTATAAATTCTTAAAGTATACTCCTTGTACTCCTATAAGCCTGTACCATAAACAGAAGATTTGGCTGTGACATCTTGCAAACTTTTTCCAGATATATAGATATTTCCCAGGATTTGACTGGTTTTTCCTTGACCCTATCACATCAAGTGGAATAAAGTTTGCCAATGATGAGAAGTAAGTAAATATTGTATCTATTGATTCTTCCCCGCCGCCCCACCACTTGCTGATTGAGGTTTCCAGTGACAGAAAAAAAACCTGTTATCCTGAAAGGTTTACACAGAGTTATGGTCCCATGAATGAACCTATCTCAGCTTTTCCAAGTCAGCTACCTTGGCCTCAGGAAAATGTACTTTTTTCCAAAAAGCCAGGAGTTCATTGTAGCAAACAGAAACCTTCTGTTTAGCAGACTTACAGCCTTTTGCGTGAGGCATTTTGGTCTTTATAGTTGTTTCTTTGGAAAATTAAAACTTGTACTCCTTCAAGCTATTTCATTTTTGATTGGAAAGCACATTTTATTTTAGCCATTTTTTTCATGAATGAAATTGCACAAATGCAAATAATCTGCATTGGAAGACTGTTGCAAAATTACTTATTTTTTCAAATCATCAAACTTGCAAAATAAAATAATGTGCAAAAACATTATTCAGAAACTCTGATTCTGAACTTTGCATTAGTTAATCTTGAATAAAGTCATAGGTTGGATACCTATGATTTTGTTTGTATTTTTAAAAATATACCTGATTAATTATATTTGGTGTGTGCTTTCTTTACAGTGTGAAGCACATTTCATGCTCTCTGCTTATTCTTCATGCTGAAGATGATCCTGTTGTTCCATTTCATCTTGGAAAAAAGGTGCTGCTTCATCTTTTAACTCCTGTCCCCTGCCATAACATTATAAATATCTTGAAAGAGTTAGAATAGTAACAGAGGGCTTGGATGTTTGCGACTTAATTTCTGTGGGGCAGATCATTGATAACACATCCAACCTTGACTGCTGCTACTGGAAGAAAAACATTTTCAGAGGGTTGTGGTGGTGGAGATAGATGGCTTAACTCTGTCCATATGTCCTTTTATATTGTCATTCCCTTTCAGAAAGCTATTTGTAAAACTGTGTTTTTGTTTACATATCAGTCATCCTAGATGAATTAGAAAAGCATGGGCCAAATCTGGTTCTGTGTTCCTCCTCGATAATCTTTTGGTCCCTTCTCATTCTAAGATCCAAAGCTGCAGCCTTGTCTGTCATTGAACAGTGCTGAAGCAATCTTTTTCTATAGTGTTATTCCCCTTCTTGCACAGTAGGCTTTTAAAATTGCTGAGAATGAGATGGATATAGTTTCTTCTGTAGAGGGGGCATCAGAGGAGGATGTGAAATATAGTGTGACATGTGCATGGTTTTATATTCTAAACTCAACATTAGTTAATCTGGAGTTATTACCAGTGCTTGGTTTTAGTTATCATCGTTGGAATTGGTGAAGTGGGAACTGATAACTGTCCTGTATCTAGAGACAGAAACAGTTAAGTCTGTACAATCATCAAAGAAGTTCCCTCTTTGTGTACTATAGAATGAAAAATCAGGAAAATGAATGTAAGAGAAAACTGAATTTTATCCAACTCAGTGCCTTCCACATGTATTAGTCTGTAACTCTCATCATTCCATGGCCTTTGGCCAGGATGACTTGTTCGTTTGTTTATCATATTCATATAGCTGCCCATCTCACAAATTTGTGGGCAGTGTACAGTAAAAAGTAATAATAGAAAACTAACAATTAAAAAATTCAACATCAAAACATCATCAAAATGTACATTCATGATAACAGTGCATTATCTGAAAAATTACCATGTTTTATTAATGCTGAGGACCCTTTTTCTGTAACCAGTTTTGCTGAACTTCTTAGATCCAAAGACTTGTACTATCTTGTATTTAATTTTAATATGATGAAATAGTAGTTTAGATCCATACAGTACAAACAAGATTTCAAATGCCCACTTGAGTCTGTAAATTTGAAGATTAGATTGAAATCTTGTGCTTTCATAGTTTTGTAAACTACCTTATTAGTACAGTGGAATAATCAAAAGATATTGTAGGTATCCAACTTGAAGTAATTTTGAAAGCATATTCTCATGAATACAGGTGGTATAGTTGCCTATAGTTTTTGTTGGAAACAAATGGTGAATGTGGATCAGGCTGCTGCATAATTGGTTCAAAAATAAAAATATCACTACTTTACATAATATTTATGGTTGGATTATGTAGGTCCATATTTTGTCATCTTGCATTTGCTTTTAAACATCTTTACAGCTATACAACATTGCTGCCCCATCTCGGAGCTTTCGTGATTACAAAGTACAGTTTGTTCCATTTCACACAGACCTGGGCTACAGGCATAAATACATCTACAAGAGCCCAGAACTACCTCGGATATTACGGTAACTAAAGGGGTAATTAATAATATGGATAATGGGAGTCTTAGCTGAGCTGGTTGGCAGTCCTGGCAGATGTACTCAATCACATCTGGAGGGTAATTTTTCCAGTGGTATTGTATTACAGTGGAGGAGGGAGATACTATGGAATATTTTGACACTGTTTTTATGACATAAATGTTGTATAAGGACTTTTTTGCTCTGTAGGTGTGTAAGGGTATGTCCACATCTCCTCTTCAGAGTTCCATAATTTAAATTTGTTTAATATTTTATCAACTGAGAGAGAAACAAGACCTGATTGGGTAGCTCTGCGTTTACTCAAATGCCTACTCCACTTATGCATACAACAAGGTGGGAAAGGCAGAAATTACATTTTTGCATAAAGCATGGATGTAAACAGAAGGAGCAGAACTGTGTCTGTCCCGCTTCCCTCCTTATGATCTGTTAATTTATTTCATATTCTTGTCTTAGAGCAAGTCAACTTGCCTGGGGGAACAGTCCCTGAAGCTTGAGGGTCAAGATGAAGTATCTTGTCTTCCTGACACACACACCCCAACTTCTGCTTTATGTGTGAATGGGCAAATAGGTCAATGCACTGAGTCTCCACCATGCCTAGTTTGGTTTGGATATACCAATTCCATTATTGTTTTTAATCTTGCTAGATATAGATCCCTATTTTTCTTTCCAGAACACATCCATTATGCCCCAGTTTTTTCCCAGCTATGTAAAGGCAAACAACTCCTACAGGAATTCACTGTTAGAAAAGATCAGATCACAGATTTGATAAGCTGTTTGTGCTTTCCCCTTATCACAGCATTTAAAAAAACCACCATTGATCCATCCTGGAAAGAGAGCTGTTGTCTTGTATGCTCACAAATCTTAAATTTGGGAAGAAAATGGATGACCCTAAAATAGCAAAATATTTCACACAATAAACAGCTGATTTTTTTTCTTCCTAGGGAATTCCTTGGAAAATCTGTACATCACCATCATCAATGAAGACTTTAACATGGTAGACTTAAGATCATACCATCTTTAAAAAAGAGAAAGAGAAAAAGTCTGCCATTATTGAAACCCAAGCACTGGATATGCCACTGATTCTGGCTTCAGTTCTAAGAGATACCTTGAAATCCCAGGTTGTGGGATAGTAGATATGAAGAATGAATGTAGTTGGCTTCTGTGTCCTTTTTTATTATTTCTAAAGAATAAGGGAGCAAAATATTGAAACAATTAAGTTCAAGCACAATAAAGACTGTAACTCCCCCACCCCACCCCACCCCCACAGCCCTGCTTTCTCCCAGAAGTTATAAACATTCCTACAGTATTGTGCCAGATTGTTACAACAGCTCTTTAGAAGACAAAATAACTTGCACTCTAAAACATAGAATGGACTATAGTTATCTGCAAAAATGTAATTCTTACAATTTTTCAGTGCTGCCTCTACTGTATTTGAATTGCAGGTTCTCTTCTAGAATTTAGTTTGGTAAGGGATATTTTTCTCCTGTTGGTTATCTCTTTGGAAGTTGCAGAAGATGATGTGGTTTTTAAATTAATTTTAGAAACTGGAGACAAACAGGCATACAAGAAAATGTTTCAGAATTAATTGAAGGATGGTTCACCTTTAAAAAGAGGTGTCTATTTGACAATTATAATTTAATAGTGGTTAATTTTCCCGTTATTGCTTTGCTTTCAAGTCTCCCAAACAGAAGTAATACATAAAAATCTTTACTATACCTCAGTCTACAGGCACATATCCACCCTGAAATTCTGCCTGCCTACTTTTCAAACCATTTTCTTTGGGTGTATATATCCTTTAAGTAATGTAGACTGTACTGATTAAAAATTACCCTTGGAAGTTGCTTGTAGTAACTCTTCTGTTAACAGAAGGTGTCTTTAAGTTTAGAATTGTTGGAGAATGTGTATTTCCACTGTGGTAAAGATGTCTTCCAGTCTCTTCTAGTCACAGAGAGACATACAAGCACTTTGGGAGTGAAAAAAAAATGATTCCATTTTAAATGATCATGATTCTTCAGACATCCCAGCCTAACCATTTCCTTCAAAATGCTCAGGTACAGTAGAGCTGGTAAAAAGTTTCCTTTTTAAATACAAGGGAAAGAAATTAACTCTCTAAGTTGATCTCTTTTGATGTGCATTTTCTTTGGGGATAAAACTCATTCTGAATTCTCAGCAGTGAAACACTCAAAGTTTCACATGGAATGCTGAATATTACCCAAGTCAACCAAAGGTATTGAAAGTGACACATTCTTATGTTAACAATACTTTATCCCTGATCATTAAAGTAATTCCTTTCTACTGTAAAAACAGAAGATTGGTTTTAGTTTGCTGTGTAGAATATTAAAACCTGTGATGTATGAAACCTACCTGACCGGCTTTGAATGTTCCCTTCAGTTAGCACTAGGTGTGAACAAAGAACACCTGTGTGTTCTTCTTTTATTATAATAAAACTATACTTTCTATACTGAATTTAGCAGGCAACGTGATAACTAGTTTTAACAAATATTGAATCTGACTTTCATGTACTGCTTTTGAGACTGACCAAATCTTATATTTTATGAAAACCTAGTCCCTTATCCCAGTTTTGGCTTAATCAACAGCAGTGCTGTGCATTGCTTCCATTTTGATTGGAAAGAGGTGACTTGTTAAAGCCACTGTGACTTTTGCCAGGGAGTTTCTGCTGTGTGATCCTGGAAGCCAACATGGCTTCTGGACTGAGTTGAAGACCAGGCTGCATTCCTAACCACTTCTTCCAAATAAAATCTGAAGTACTGCATGTCCTTAATAATTGGAGATATGCATAATCCTCCCACATGCATGTAAGTGTTTTTTTTAAAGCTCTTTTTATCCCACCTTTATTATTTTTATAAATAAGGCAGTGAATGCACCTAATACTCCTCCTTCATCCTCTTTTCCCTACAAAAACAACCCTGTGAGGCGAGTTGGGCTGAGAGAGTGTGACTGGCCCAAAGTCACCCAGCCAGTTTTTGTGTCTAAGGCAGGACTAGAACACACAAGTCTCCTGGTTTCTAGCCTGGACCCTTAACCACTAAATCAAACTGGCTCTCTTTATGTGTGATAAAACAAGCCAAAAGTTGCACTGAACCATAGTTTGGGTTGAGAAACTATAGCTAGTATCTTTCGAACAAGACAAATTATAAAGCCGTTGTTTAAAGATGGATTCTATATCCTAGCTTGTTTAGAAGCCATTAATGCTAATTCCCAATTTGGTTATAAGAGGCTGTGGTTTACTGAGACTTGTTGATTTGTTCACCTGTTCGTGCAAAGGAGGAAGAAAGTGATTGTCCATGAGTGCATATCATTCCTGTGTATCTTTATTAAGCTGGGACATGATCATCCAAACACTGCCATTGTGATTACTAATGCCTATTTTTGAAACTTGTAAAATTTACATCTCTTATGGCAAAAAGGATAGCATGGATGTTCATTTAGGTCAGTCTTCCTCAACTTGGAGTCCTCCATATATGTTGGGACTTCAGTTCTATATTGGCTAAGAATGGTAGGGGCCGTATGTTAGGGAGGAGGTTAGAGAAGGCTGGCTGGCTTAGGTAGTCTACAGTATATATTTTGCTATTTGCACATACTTTGTTTTGCTAACAAAATTCAATGCAGGCATGGCATGGTTAGCAATTAGAACAAAGGAATCATGAGCCAGTGTGGCTGATGAGCTGAAGCAGATTGCTTTATGGTGATCCCACCTTTTGTGAAGTTGGCCCTGAAATGTGTCATGTCTTAAACGTTCAATATTGGGCATAATAGAGACTAGGTACTAATGTTCAGAATGCTGCAATTTTTTAGTCTGAAAGATATAGAGGGTACTATTTACTAATATTGTCTTTATATTACCTTTTTTGCATGTATCAGCACCACACAACTTGCAGATTCATTGTATGTGCAAACAGTAGCTTGTTCTTTGCATTAAGATTTTCTGCAGTTATGCAGTCTATCAGTTTTGATTCACAATAACTTCCAAGATAATTGTGCCACATAAAATTTCAACTTTTCTCCCCCACCTCGTGTTTAGGATTATTGCATTAACAAAGGCAAAAATGCTATTTTGGCTCTTTTGAAGAAACCAAGAGAATGTTTTGTATAGCACTGCTCCTGCTCTCACCCACTTTCGTGTTGATAAAAGTACAGACTAATGTGGTAATGTCAACTCTGCCAATGCAACAAAAATTAGATTCCAAAGCATGCACAGTGCTGTTTGTTCTGACACATATGTTCCAATTGTTAGGCCCGTAACATGCATTGAACTTGAAATGTTTACCTAAACAGTGTGTAGTTTTAATAAAACAAATGATTTATGACTTCATTTGGAGGTAGCTTTGTTTTGTTAAGTGTAAATCATGGGCTGCCGGCATTTCTGCTCAGGTCCAAGAAAATGTCAGAAAGAGAGAATTTAAAATAGCGGCATGCTGATTGGGATCCAAACAACCGCAGACATGCATGTGAGTACACGCCTTCTGTCACTCACAGAATTTTGTATGTTGTGAGTTGCTCTGGGCTACTGTAGGAACAAATGATTTCATTATTCCAACTTTTCTCTTGTCAGAGGAAATGTACTATGTAATTTGTGAGTTACATTGTGGCCAACAACTTGACATTTTTTCTGTGACCAGTTTTGCACATCCAGTGAGCTTACATCTGGACACGATTATTTAATGAGTTCAGGGGACTTTTAAAAATGTGAATTTCCAGTATGAGTCAAATAGATTTCTGTATGCCTTGAGACTTTAAACTCTTTGGAATGCTGTCTGTGACTTTAATCATCTTTCTTATTACTACCATTTACGCATGACCATCTTGAAAGTACTGCTCAGTTACAGTAGATGTCCCTTAGGTGTTCTATATATATTCTGTATAAACTTGTATAGATTTTTCATGATGTTATGATCTCTTCCAGAATATCCTGGATGTTGGTCTTTAGGAGGAGTCCTCTCCCCTTTCATAGCAATCCCAAGTGGAAAAAATTACAATCTAGTTTGAATTCTGTAGTGTAGATATACTTGAAATTGGGCAGGAAGTTGGTATAGCACAAAGCAAAGCAATAGCCTCCAGCATTATATTTATTTTCAGAAATGCTTCTGTGACTCTAAGGCAGTGGTTCTTAAACTGTTTGACCCAATTATCCCTTTCCCTAGTCTCAAATGTCATTACCCACCCATCCCCAAAAACCTTACTCTTGTTTTACAGAAGTATCATGGCAGTCCCAAACTGGATCCTTGACTCACAAACCACCAATTACAAATTGCTCCATTACCCTCAGGATATACCCGAATTACCTTCAGTTTAAGAACCACTGCTCTAAAGAGTCCCATGCGCTTTCACAGTGAATAAAAATGATTGGTGGCTTCTGGTGAAGTGCTTTGGAAGTGATGTGATCACCTGCCCAGAAGAATAAACAAAAGGTCCTGCATGGCCTGCAGGAGAGGAAGCTAGAGGGTGTAGTAGGGGGCATTCTGGTAAATTGGTGTTTTGTAACTGGTTGTATTCCTCCATAGTAGCAGTTTCTCCCAGCAGCCATTTTGTGAGAGTGCCAGTAACATTCTCAAAATTCAAATTTGCTCACTGTGCTGGGGACTTCTGTTACAGTTACACTACATTTGCCAGAAGACTATTTAGAAGTGTATGGAAAAAGCCATCTGGATAGCAATAATAATAATATGTGTAAGCTGCTTAAGTATTTCAGTTTTTAACTGCTTATTTTCATTGCAATTCTTGTGCAGTTCCATGGATCTGCTGCTCTATCACTAAGACATTTAACAGAATCTGTCTGCCGCACCAGTTATACAGTGGTACACACTACCCAGAATCACTTCCTTAAATCTCTGCTGCTTCAGTCTTCTGTGGCCACAGGACATAAAAGAGAGGGAATTTGCTCAAATCTCCCATGAACTTCCCTTGTGGTGGGGAGCAAAAGCACAGAATGTAGGAATTGGAAGGAATCTTTTAGATCACTCCCCACTCAGTGTATTCAGCTTCCGTTTGAAAAACTTAAGAGAGTGGAGTCCACCTGATAGTATGGGTAAACTGGTTTCTTGGCTGTGTTGATTGGGATTATTGTTAGTGTTATTGCTCAGTTGCTATTTTATGTTATTTATACTTTTGTTTATTGTTTTTATTCTGTTTTTTGGGTGGCCATATAAATCAAAGAAATAGCAAATAAATTTTATTATTATAGGTGATAATTTAAAGTAGACTGAGCTGTTAAGGAACATAAATCCACTCTGATCTGTTCAGAAGATAGCTCTAGGGATTGAGACACAGGCTCTCCCTGGACTCAAAATAAGAAATTGGACTCTGTCAACGAAACCCAGGACAGGTGTCATCCTAAAATGACAAATGCCCTCCAGGAGGTTCAGGAGAGTGAACAGTTGTGATGAAATGGCAACTTTGCTTCAAGTAAACCAATCAAAATCTCTGTGGACAAAGTTACTCATGTTTCATTTACATGTTTGGTATTTGATTTCACTGGGGCAACTCTTAGAGGAGTAAGCCTAACATTCATATTTTCATGCTACCTTTAAAACCCAAATGATTTTCTTTTTCCAAATAGTTGTATTATCCCTCAAAACCTATGTTCCCATTCTTCTCATGATGGGTGAATTAAAAATATGTGCCAGTGGATCCAGCTTGTATCAAAAAAATACAGAGGCTTCATTCTTAGCTGCCTAGGAGGGCTTATTAAAATTCTGAGTTGTAAAACTCACTAGGCAAACTTGGTTCAATCTTACTCTTGTAGCATAGTTTTATTTATTTACTATTTATATTCTGCATTTGTGTGACTTAAGGCAAGATGCCTAAGTGAACACAATATAAAGCTCCAGTTAGTATCTGTTCAACTATCTAAATTAACTTGCAATCCTTGTAGCAGTACCCTTGAAGGAATATCATCGCCATGCCACTGCTGAGAACACCACCTAAGAATGGCCATTTAATGAGTCCATAGTGAGAACAGTGGAATTTTCAGTTACATTTCAGTGAAACTAGACATAAATGTTGTATCAGATATTTTGGTGACTGGCAGTTTTGGGAGACCAACTTCAATTGGGGCTGTAAAGTGGGGTCAGTGATGGTTTCAACCCTTCCCCATTATTACCCCAGTTAGAACTGATCCCTTTTCCTATGCCTGCTGTTTACTGTGGGATGAGAGAGAAATTTAGGAAGAAGTACTTAAAGGGCTGAGGTTAAAATATGCCCCCCCAAATCATCCATGGTCTCAGTGCAGCTTTTGGGGCTCTAGTATTTTCTTTTGAGTAAATACTAGAGCCCACCAAACTCTACTGAGACCATGAATTATCTAGGTCAGGCCAAGCCACACAATGGAATTAAAGTCTGCTCTGGACCTCACTCTTGTAGCTATTGCATTACACTTATTACACTGACTTCAATAGTGCAGCAATTCTGTAATTCCATTCCAAAGCAAAAGGAAAATCCACTGCAATGTTCATGGAAGTTTAATATGTTTTGGAGACATAGGGGAATAACAGTAATATATCCTAAGCACACCCACACACATAAACACAAACTCAAAATTAGTTTTGGAAATGGCATGATTGTGACATATACATTTATTTAGCAAGCACAGTAACTGCTAATTTGCTTGCTCCAGCCTCCTGCTTGGCTAATTCTTGCTTGAAGAGATATTCTCTCTGAAGAGTTGCTCACAATAGTTTTACAGACCATGAAGAAAAATAATTGGGAGTAGGACAACACATGCTTAAGAGTGCAATGCAAAATACACATGAGATGGGAATGCTCGCAAACATGCAATATTCTATGCACAAATCTCAAGACATGATAGGACTTTGTCAGCAGAAACCTGTAATGCTTAACTTTGCTTAGGTGTAAATAATAACAGCAACACAATCCACACAATTTCTTTAGGAAAAAATGTTCTGCACATGCTGAGAAGAGTAATTCGTTATTCCCTTATTTGAAGCATTTCATGGCAGCAAAATAAATCATAGGAACACTGAACTGTAATCAACCTAAAAACAATTCCTATCAAAAGTTTAGCAGCATTCCTTAAACACAATATTGTGCTCCCTGGAATTCCTGAATTATATATATTCTGCATTTCATAAGAACACATGGAAACGATGCCATCCAATATCCGAAATCTATGAGCTTTAAACCTGGAACGGCCCACCTATTTATTTTCTTCAATATGGAGATAAATTTGGCCATGCAATGGAAGGCAAGGAGAATGGTTATTTTCTAAGAGCAACAACCAAATAAAGCTACTGGGTACAATATATTTTGGAGACTAGCCTTTGTCTCAAATGCCCTTAAGGATGGCTTTCATGTGCAGCCTGATGACAACATATAGTGAATTTCTCAATGCTTTTTCAACACAATGTTCATGTTCAACTACTTTGTTGTTATGAACCTGCTATCTAACTACAGTTTCACTGCACAATTTTACTTCTTGGAACAATTAAGGCGATACAATTTTTGAGGGAAGCTATAAACCAGCAAGGGAAGGATAGACTTTTTTGAGCTTATATAAACTCTAGATGAAGCATGAGAAATTACTGATTCAAAACCATCACCATGTTAAAGGCTAACTCTTGTTGGTATTTTAAAGCTTTTTCTCTACCTTTGCTGATTTACTTCTATTTTCAGTGACCAGCCAAGAAATTGCTCAATCCTATTATAGTTAGCTGCATTCCTTTCATCTTTAGGAGGACATAAATACCACTTTGCTTATTAAAGAGTGATATTGGTTGGATTGGGACCAGCCTAGCTAAAGAAATACTATGATTAATTTGGGGTATTTATGTAGAGTTTTATTTTAGTAAACTGAGCAGGGAATGATATGCCTTAAAGTGGGCCCCAGAGGACATGGCCACCCCTACTTAATTCTGTATTTTCAATGCTTTGGATGTCAGACTGGGCCCTTAGCTGGCAATACTAAAGCAAGAATCTAAAAGGTTATGTAAATATTGTCTGTAGCTGTTTTATAAGACAAGGGATTTGAACTTTTGCTTGTCAGCACAAGAAAATTGTGATTTATTATTGGCAGACTCATAGCCTTGTAGAATTATTTACTTCCATTGTTTAACTTACTGGATGCTCTTTCTTGATGTTCTTTTACTTGGCTGTGTTCTATGTCATGTGCTGCACATGTAACTATCTGACAGTGTAAAAACCCACTCAGGAAACATCAGAATGTTTTATTAATGTCCAAATGACTATTTTGTTCTCTTGGATCATGCCTGCCCTTCATGATTAAGTACAAAGTGGCCTTGTATCTGAGAAACAGGAAATATCTGTAGGTGCCAATTAAGATGGTTTTGAATCTGAGAAGCAGGAATCTGCAAGGGTTAAAAAAGCAGGGTCCTAGATTGACTTCCCAGTACCCATCCTACACAATGGTATGGGGTATCTTTCAATGATTAAAGTAAGATACTCTCTGGCAGGCGATTTCAAACAGTGAATTAGGGAAGTTCTTTGGGAATTCCTCAGTTAGCCAATCAGTGGTGGCAGACACGTGTTCTTCTTACCAACCTCTGGTTAATCATGTTTCATGATCATCTTTCATCCCTGCATGGGCGTTCTAGAATATAACTCAGAATGTAATTCATAACATGACATATGATGGTTCTGCTATGAAAACTAAAGTGCTCCCTCACAATTAACATTCTGAAAATAATTACTACCTTATAGAATAAAACTGTAGCCATATTGATATAATCTGTTTATAAACCCAGATTAGTAGAAATCATTTGCCCACTACTATTACTACTGCCATTTTTTCTCCTCCTTTTACAAAATGTAGCAATCAGACCAAACAGATTCCAATTAATCATAGATTCCAATTTCTGCTGAGCTGAGAAATGATGGTTATTAGTATTGGAACAATTTAAAATTGTAAATAAATCTTAAACTGTAGTTTAAGAGCTTGGCTTGTGCTAAGGGTCTTTCCAGTTTGGATGAATCTGGAAATTATAATTGTATATTTATGGCTACATACCACAAACAGAAGATCAAAGAAGCTGCATGAGTGAATAACATACTTACAAACATCTTGGCTTAGTAAGATATAAAACCCAGTATCAGGTCATTTGAAATGAGGTACTGTAGCGCTAAGGATACAGATATATTATATAATATTCTTAAACATTGTATAAACATGCAAGAACTGAACTTCTAACACAGTTAATTAGGGAGTTAAAAGTTATGGCCTACACAAAATAGAAAATCATATATTTTTCTTCAATTATTTTTGTCAAAAGAATTATTGACAGAAGATCCTTTGCTTAAATGTAGCAAAACAGCACTAAAGTTTTGTTTAGACAAAAATACAACAGACTGATGTAAAATGAATACCACAAAAATGGTTTGGTTTTCAATTTGTTGTTTTCTGGAATAATGCAAGCATTTAAATTTTGTTACTTATGCGTACTGGAATTTATGAAATTATTGGGTTTCATTCAATTCTGATCTCCTAGCTCCATCAGCTCTCTATCCTCACTTCTCAACAGATGATCAGGGTATCAGTTTTGACCAAACTGGTCACGTGTTTTTGACAAAGTCTTCCTCCTGTTAAGTGAGGGGTGCTATTATTGCATGCCTGTTTGCTGTCTGTTCTGAAAGCAGTGGTCGCTATTACCTACATTCGATAAAGTTGTATTGCTCTTGTCTATATGTGGCAAGCCTAAACATTCGTCTAAGGGGAGGCAAAGATTAGGCAGCTGTCTCTAGCCTCCTGCTCCTGTGTAACTCCCTGATGGTGGGAAGCTACTTCCACAAGACATCTGAAGGGCATCAGGTCAGAGAAGGAACACTTCAGATTATATTCATTATTTCATTGACCTGGTATTAGATTGATAACGTCTTTATTAAGAAATCTGAAAAGGAAAACAGCATGTTTGTTGAACTTTTGGTTCTGGAAGTTTATAGGAACATACATTCATTTCCATTCTTGTTATTTACATTGAAGTGCAAACAAAGTTGCCATTCAAGGATTTGTTGAGTTCTAAAACATCTCCAGTCAATTTCCTTGGCATTTGCAGAAAAGAAACATCCATCTATTTAGCAACCAGGCTAGAAGACCTGGCAGATCCCCAAAAGGCTGATGTTACTGCCTGAAATTAAAACTCAAGGGGCTTCACAGAAGATGCAATATACTTTTAAAATACTAGAAACATGACCTCTAGAGCCGGCACTGACTCAGGAAAGACTCTGGATGGAGGTGGAGGTTTCACTCTGATAAGTGACAGATATTTCAAGATTGTCCTAAATAATCCATATAGCTGCAGAATTTGAAACATACACAGATAAAGTCTAGCTCCTAAAGCAAAGCTTAGCAGCCTACCAGAAGGCTGAGCAAATGTCTAATTCTTTATTTATTGCCACTTGCTCTGAAAACTATCCAGAATCTAGCAGACCACAGAAAATGGCTGGTAATTTGACTTAATTCAGCCTGGCTGGGTAGTCCCAGTGCATCTTGAAGGCACCAGGCTGGGTGTGAACTTCATGAATCACGTGTCATACAGGCATGCTCTTTTCAGAGGAAAGCAAACAGGTTCTTTGGCACCATTAACCCTCTTTGAACTCCATGTCCCTGTGGGAAAAAGTATCCTGATCTTTAAGTTTGTGCTAACAGGTCACTTGGAATGATTCTAGGTTAAAAAGTACTGTTCTGGGGATCAGCAATGGTTCTAATGACCCTAGGTTTCCAGGGGTGGGGAAGAGAGAGAAGAGGGACATGTGATGAAATGTGTGTCATGATGCTAAACCCACAACTGGGTATGTGTGTTAGTCATCAGGATACAAGTACCTAAGAGCAAAGTTTGTATCATGATGCCACCATGTACATGTCATTTTGATGCAAGCACAGTTTGCTACAGACGCCACTGCAATCAAGAGAAAGAAATGTCTTCAAAATGAGTTATGTGGAAAATGCATTTTCCTGAGCCACAGAAGGGTCCCAGTCTAGCTCCCTCTGGAAGGCAACAATTATCCCCGTGGAATCACATTTTCCACCCCATCCAATTCTGGGCTTTGTTGGCATCTTCTAACTGACCAGAAAGGGGAACTGCCATAGGAACTAACAAGTTTGGGAGCTTGAGGAACCCCTCAGCATATAATGCATGCATGCATATAAACCACATTAGTTAAATTGGATTTTTAAAAGAGGGCAAGATTATAACACTTTTTTTTTTGCTTGAGCTTTCTGTTTCAGATCTTGAATCTTATTACAGCCCATACGATTTGGTCAACTCTTTCTTACTATCATCTGAAGCACCAGGTGCCCTCATTTCAACTATATGTTTATAAAGATGAAACAAGCAATGTGTGGTAAAATACATGTTTGAAAAGTCACTGGGAAGCAGGAATGTCTTAGCAGCAGCAGCAGGAAGCCCATCAGGGTGATTGCATGCACCTTCTAATGGCAGATTTACTCTCTAGGTATGTTTGGCGGAGGAATTTTCACAGCAGAAGGTTCCACTCCCCATATCTCTCTGGCATACTCAGTAATTGTCCTGTCACTGGAAAACTTGCCAGAGCACGCAATGTTCTTAATTACCTTTTTAGTCCATTCCCTAGGATTCTAAGAAGAAATGAGAAAGAGGTTAGGCTATTATCTTTAGAGCTTTAATAGTGGAAATGCAGTGCAAATTCATTTTTCATTTATTGGACAGCCAGCTCCTCAAGAAGTGGTGAATTCAGAGCCAGAATTCATGGCTTTCAGTTTCTTGGAGTTGCAATAAACTATTTAACTGTGGCTTCTCTTGCCTGTTCTCTCCCTGTTCTTGTTGTCTACTCTCCTCCAACCTGGTTTAATTGATTGAGAACTGGAATTCCCTACTCCAAATAAATGATCTTGCCTACTGCCATACAGTCTGCATTTAACTGCTTTCAACATTTTTTTTTATTTCTTACATTTCATATAGTTGGGTATCTTTGGAACTCACACCCCCAACAACATCACACACAAGGCTAAAGGCACCTTCACACACTCTTCCTCTAACGTAGTACATGCCATCTGCCAGCAATGCCCTCTGGATTCTACAAAGGGCAAACAGGTCAGACTTTGCACAAAAGCATGAATAGACACAAATCAGGACTCGATACAAGGATAAGGTAATACAGTAGCCAAGCATTTAACCTCCCAGAACACTCCATTATAGATCTCGAAGTAGATGTTCTGGAACAAAGACTATTCCAACAGAAGTGAGAGTGAGAGAGCTGAGCTTTCGCACATACATATCTCAGAAGGTCTGAACAAACACAATGGTATTAAACATATGCTTTTCTTTAACATCTATGTGAAACTGTTGGGAGAAGTCATTCAATGGCATGAGGTGTGGTATCATCAGGTGCTGATGATACCCAGTTATACATCTCCACCTCTAGCCAATCAGGTGATGTTATTGAGTTACTGGCCCAGTGCCTGGAAGCTGTGAGGGTCTGGATGGGGAAGAACTGGCTCCATCTCACCCCTAGCAAGATGGAAAGGCTTTAGGTGTTGAGCCCCTAGAGTCTGGTGATGTGTCATATTTGATTGACAATATTGCACTTCTCCAACAGAGTAGGTGCCCAATTTGTACTTGTGGTTCCTGGACTTGTGGCTCTTGCTCAAGGAGCAGGTTGCAGCCATGGCCAGGGGGGCTTTTACACAGATTCATCTCTGCCAATTGTACCCATTCCTTGCCTTGGGCACTTCCCAGCTGGACTACTGAAATGCGCCCTGCATGGGGATGCCCTTGAAGACTACTTGGAAATTACAACTGATCCATAATGTGGCGGCATGGGCAGTGTTAGGTACCCCTTGGTTTGTCCATATTATACCACTATTGCATGAGATGCACTGGCTCCCAGTTTCTTTCCAGGTGCAATACAAGGTGCTGGTTATCTGTTTAAAGCCCTACATGGCACAGGGCCAGGTGATCTCTGGACCACTTTCCACCAGGTCAGATAGACTGGGCCCACTCCAGGTCCCTTCCCTTCAATGTTGCCATTTAGTGGGACCTAGGAAGTGTGCCCTTTCCATAGAGGCCCCTGCCCTGTGGGACACCCTTCTCCCCAGGATCTGGCAGGCCCCCAACCTCTTAATCTTCTGAAATGCCATAAAGAGCCTGCTGTTTCTCCAAGTGCTAGGATAGGGTGAGGGTATAGGGTACCATACATACATTCTGACTACCCTAAATTCTTGGTTGATCTTCAATCTATCAATTTTGGAGGTCTTTTTCAGCACTGGGCTCACTCTTGGATACAAGAGTCTTAGTTATAATTTTCAGTTATTTCATGAAGAAGCCCCCTTTCTTATCAATTTGCATTTGGTTCAAACAATGAAGAAAGTTTCTATCTTACCATGTATAGTTGGTCCACCTGCCCTTGACATTTGATGTAGGCTTCATAATCAGCAAATACTTTAAACCTACACAAAGCACAGTTTAAGTGGAACTGTGAATTTCATTTATTTTGTTAACTCAGAGGCATAAAGAATTATGGGTAAATAGCACGTTATAGCAGTGTTTTAAATAAGGTAAGCTTGGATGTGCTTTTCTTCTCTCTCTGAGATTTTTAAGCAAGGCTCTCTCCTGTGTAACATAATTTCAAAGGGCTTTTTCTGTGGTAGTTCCTTCTGTGAGGAAGCCTTAGGCCAGCTTGCTTGGGAAGCTACATCACCGCATTTTCTCTTTCTCAATTTCAGGTACCTTTTAAAAATAAAAATATGTCCAAAGAATGGCTCACTGACATTACCTGGATTCAAGGCTCCTGCTGAAACAGCAGGTAGAAGCTGTAGCCAGCTTTGCTCAGCTTCAGATGCTGTACCAGTTATGCCCTTATCTTGACCAGCAGGCCCTGGTGACAGTGACTCATGCCCTGATCACCACACAGTTAGACTACAGTAACGTGCTCTATTTGGGGTTGTCTTTGGAAGTGACTTGGAAGCTACAGCTGATTCAAAATGCAGTAGCAAGGCCCTTGACAGGACAACTCTATGAGAGTAGAATTATGCCTACCCTGAAACTGCTGCATTGGCTGCTGGCAGGTTTCTGGGCCCAATTCACATCAAAAAGGAATAAGCCAGGATCTGTATGTTATCCATAAAAAGTGTGCCATGCCCCATCCTGGGTTTACAATATACAGTAGTCTTCCCCAAGATGGTGTGCCTCAGATGAGGAACTATAGCTCTCATACCTCTCAGCAAGCATGGTGACTTACATCATGCCTAGGGATTCTGGGGAGTAATATTCCAACCCCCACTGAAGACATTAAGCTGGAAAAAGCAAATTCATAATGAAAGTACACCATTGCTGTCTCTCACCTGTCATGATACATCAACATGTTGACGACATCTTGGAAGCAACTAGGATCATTTGGTGAGAAGAATCCACTATTTATTTGATCAATAACTTGCCTGAGCTCTGGGATCCTGTCATAGTATTCCTTAGCACTGTACCTAAACAAGAAAAATAGAAACACCTTTAGCCTTTTTTGCCTCTACTATTATTTATTTCTTCCATTTACATCTCACCTTTTCTCTTGGAATAGAAGGTGACATGCACAAGGTTTTCCCCGGTGAGCAAAGACTGGCTGAAAGGTACCAGTGACCTCCATGTGGTTAAGTGGAGACTGTGCTTCATTGTCAAGGGGGACTTTAAATTCAACACTTTAGCCACTACATCATATTGGTTGTTGTAGGAAGAAGTCACCGGACAAGACTCACCGAGGCAGCCTAAATTATAGGTGAGTTGGAAATAATACAGAGGGCAGACTTAAGATGACAAACTAAAAGGCTATTGATGCAGATTAATTCTTCATAAAGGGATGATCAGTATTAAATACTATACAATTTATGAAGAGTAATTTGTGGAAATTACAAATAATTTCCGAAGTGTTCCTATTTTTCTTTGATAAAATGAGTATGTAAGCTCTCTTCTATGCTGTAGCAAGCATCTTCTGCTATTAATATAAATGGATAATGAGAGCCTTATCTCTGCCCATGTAGCCCAATCTTCCTACGACAAGGATACTCCATTTCCAGGAGCAGTTTTCAGTTACTGAAGTTCCTAATAAGCTTTCCTCATAATCAGAGATATTGACCATAAGTAATTCCAATTAATATAGGAGAGAATTCAGGGAAGAAAAATGGGCTGTTAAGGAACTCAAGTTTATCCTGGCTGTTCTGCTTGCTCCGCAGAGGACAGAGAAGTCTCCTTTCTCTGGAGTGTCAAAATAGAAGTTGAACTCTGCCTAATTCTTCTAGGTGAGGCACCATCCTGAGGAAGCTCAGGAGAAGTTTCCTACTGGTCCAGAGAATCAATCACATGCCCACAGCCTGTCTCTATGGAGCCTGCTTCATAGTGGTGCTCATTTACAAACCCTTTCTCATCCATTGCCTCAACGTCATCCACCCGCATGCCAAAAATGAACAAATTATCCTCCCCAGCTTCTTCAGCCATTTCCACATTGGCCCCGTCCATGGTCCCAATGGTGAGGGCTCCATTCAGCATGAATTTCATGTTTCCTGTCCCCGAAGCTTCAGTCCCAGCTGTGGAGATCTGCTCAGATAGATCTGCAGCAGGAATCACTGGGATGGATAGGGAAAAGAGAATCAGGCAAGACTATTTTTTTTTCTTCTGTAAACAAACCATTGTATCTGCATCTAACATGAGCAAGCCTGGTGTGGTATAATTTTACTGTCCTGAGTAGACCAAGCAGTGCAACATCCTCTGTGTTTGTTTCATTGATGCAGCTGTACGGCATACAGGATTGTTCTTATACCTCTGCATCTGGAAGGGACATATTTTCTTGCACAGGAGCCTGTCAGCCATGGGCTCACAGTATGCAACTCTTTAGATGTAACTCGCAACAGCCTCAGCCAGCACGGCCATAAACAAGGTGTGCAAGGAAAAACAGTTCAGCAGAATCTGGAAAGACACATTTTGTGCACTAGCTAGGCCAACTACCTGCTTCCAAAATCAACTTACCTTTTTCAGCAAGAGACACCCTGTAGTTCTCCAAAAATATGACTTTGAGTCTATCTCCTATGTAAGGGTCATTATTGACTATTTCCCCAATGGCTGTGATCAATCTGATAATCATTTTTGCCATGTGGTAGCCTGGAGCTGCCTGGAGGAGGAAGGAAAGACACCTGAGAGTAAAAATAAAGGAGTGACAGAAAGCCATCTGCTAATAGTAAGGCAAATGAGTATACCAAAATATATCATCTGGATTTCTTAATAGAAAATCCACTATCTAGAAAAAAGGAAGCTACTTCTGAATGTATCAGCTGAAATACCTAATTCCCAAAGAGAGTACCACAAATTGGCATATGTGAACACTTCTATAAATACAATCAAAGGAAGCTTTGATCTATCCCTACTGCCTTTTTGGTCTCTGTTTTTGCTGAGCTTTTGCATCACATAGATTCCTTAAATAAGTCCAGACCTCAGGGGGAATTGTCCCTCTCCTTGTTCTCAGCATGCTGAGCTTCCAAATAAAAAGTATGTTTGAATCACATGAGGAAACAAAAGAGACCAGAGAATATGTAGAGCTTCTCTGAATGTGAGTAGTTCTTACCTTTGCTTGCTTAAAAATCTCAAATTTTTAACATAAAGATGAAGTGTGCAGGCAGGCAGTGATGGGTGGGAAGAAGAAATACATACATTGTCTTAATTACTAAGAAGTAAACTTAGTTTCACATTAAATCCTTTACCTTTCCTCCAATCATAACTGTTCTTGGCACATAGGATTTTTTTGGGTCTTTTCTGATGCCTGAAAAAAAGCAATACAGTTAAGAAGGAGGAGAATGAAAGTGAACAAATGGATGGTTTTTAAAAAGAACAAATTAATGAGAAAATTATTCTACAAATCTGCTTTCTGTGACATCGATAACTCCTATTTCAAGATAAGAATATCACTGAGGAAAAAAGCAATAGAAAGATGTAAAGTAGAGGGCAAATTTATACCTTCCTCCCTAGACTGACAGCGTGGAATTTGTAAATTAGGAAGCTTTATCATATTGGCCAGGAATAATAGTGTGCCATTTGTTACAGGGACACAGTATTAATCTAAATGAACAATTTCTGTTGGCAGCAATATTTATACAAAGAGCAGATAAGACTGTACAACTGATTTTGGATTTTACAATATTATCATGCAGTATAGCAGGAACAACCCAAATTTAGGGAATGAAAAGCTGAATCATCTAGTGTATCTCAGTGCTGATTCAGAAAAGTAAATCACTAAAGAAACTCTGCTTATCAACCAGCTTCTGCATATAACCTGCACAGAAGGAAAGCCCACACCCTTTCAAGCAATCTTTAGGGTTTCAAGTGGAAATACATCTCTGCACCTGCTAACAGAGACCTCATCTTTGGAAGTCCTTCAGGTAATCTTTCCCATGGAAAAAAAATCTTCCTAAAAGTTATTCCCAACTCCTGGCAAATGGAGCACCTACTTTATCAATAACCTAGGGCTGCTGTGAGATGATAAGTAACACTGTCTAGTTCTCATTGTCATTTCTGAGCTTCGTAACACTATCTGAGTGAACAGACTTGTTTTACATGCTAGGTTAATAGTGCCTGACAAAAAGTATTCCAAAACTAAGGCAGAACTCTCAGCAGCTAAATTGCTATCACATTCCTGGCATGACATGCCGACCATAACTATTTTGCCTTGCAAAATATTACATGCTCTTTTTTGCCTGCTTGTTTATGACAGGCATCCACCGTTAAAATTTTGATCTCACCAAGCCTTCAGTTACATGTGTGCAATTTTGCTCAGGTTCCTGAATATGCTTCTTCATAGTTCACAAAGGCTAGTTTCCTGGAATCTCAAGCTGAAGCTTGCTGCAGTATTATATTCAGGGTAAAAGGACAAGGCTGATCTACACACACACACACATACACACACACATTCCCACTATCTCTTCAGACTACAAGTAGTGCATTTCTGCTTGCTTCCCAAAGCCCCCTTTCATGTAGACAAATAGAAGGTCAGAGACCGAGAGAGAGAGGTAGGAATATTATTGTTAACATTACCCAGAAAGATTTAAAAGCTGTAAAAGACTCACGGTTGTAGAGAGTGATTATATGCAGGCAATTGAGGAGCTGCCTCTTGTATTCATGAATTCTCTTAACGTGGACATCAAACATAGAGGAAGGGTTGATTTTCACTTTGTATTGTTCTTCCAAGTATGCTGAGAACTTCAGCTTGTTCTCCTGGCAAAAGGACGTTTTAGGTTGATCTCAGAAAGCTTAAACAGACATCCAACTGAAGTCCCTGGCCTAAATGGGATTTATTGAAAGATATTCTCTACGATATAATATAAATATATTTTTGCTAGGAGGCAGCATGCAAACGAATATAAGAAATGAATGAGGCTAGTGATAGATAGATGAGAGAGAGAGAGAGAGAGAGAGAACGAGAGAGAGAGAATGAGAAAGAACTTGTCTGTTGCCATTATTACCTGTTTAACTTTGGCTACATCCCTGATAAAGGCCTCATCGTTGACAAAATCCAGCAGTTTCTTTAGCTGGCTAAGATCAGTTAGGAAATCTTCCCCAATCCTCTGTATATTAAGAGAACAAAAATTATAATTAACAGCAGAGCTGATATGATATTTCTCACCGCTGAATACTTCTATTACTATGTTCATTTCCCACAACTAAGACAGGAGAGGAGTAATGGGAAATGAACATAGTAATTGGACAGGAGTCTGCTATATTACGCACAGTGGCAGCATTTTGACATTGAGAGGAAATGTGGTTCACTCGCATAGGACTTGTTGGCAACTAACAGACTAATTCAGGACTAATCACTGAACTGGATATTAGATCTACAATACAACACGGTTCTGCAAAAATGAAAAAGGAGAGAGAGGAAAAAAAAAGAAAAGCAGCATCTTTACCCTCAAGGATTGTCTGCCTGGCTATAGAACTGCCTTTTAAGCAGAGGATGAATGACCTTACATTTCTGACTGCTACGGCATTATAACAACTGTTTTATCACTATAACAAAAACAAATTATTTAAAGTGTTTAATACCATGTTAAGTTGATATTGAAAGCATATAAATATAAATAAGTTGGTATTTATATCACTATGCATCTTAAGCAGTCTACATTAAATATATATGTTATACAACTCAAAATAAAATATATACACAATACAGAGATTAAAATATACTAAAACCAGTGTCTTTAGGGAGTGGAGCAGAACCATCATGAAGTGTCATATGCCAAGGGGATTAAATTCTTTTAATCAGGAGGGCTACACTGAAGCAAGCACAGCATGTGCTTTATCTCCAGGGTACACGTGTTTCACAAAATGGTGGAACAGACCATCTTCCTCGTTGATGTCAAATAAATATCCACCAGATGTGGCACAACCAAGAGACCATCCACTGGCAACTGCAGTAGTTGGGCAAGTCTATTTCGGAGAAGGCATTTGCCAATAGTTGGCACAGTAATGCTAATTAACTGACTTGTTTTTATAAACATTAAGGTGGCTAAGTGCTAATAATAACAATATTCATTGTTATTGTCATGATTAGCCCAACACAGTCTTCAGTTGCATGCAGAGGCTAGGCACCCTGCTCAAATTTTATGTTTCAAGTGGAATCCTAAGTGAAGAGAAGCTGACATATATAGTGCGCTACCTGATACAAAGTTAAACATGACATCTTTCTACAAATCTGAATGCAGACTTACTGTTTATGTGCAGTTACTTACAGATTCAAAATCAGACTTCTATTAATTACCATACCGTTATGCTGTGCTCTACAGCAATGCTTCTCAACCTTGGCAACTTGAAGATGTGTGGACTTCAACTCCCAGAATAGCTGGCTGGGGAATTCTGGGAGTTGAAGTCCACACATCTTCAAATTGCCAAGGTTGA